TCATTTTAAAGGAGTTGGCATTACTGAGGGATCGATCACCCCACGTTTTGTTGTGGATTTTCCAAAGAAAATGCTGGTGTTTTCTATAGGTCAGCCACCTCTCCCAGTCCTACCAGAGACTTGGCATTAACGTGGCTTTCCCAACTAAAAGTTTGGACGCTGTGATTGTGAATATCTGGCGAGGGCGTCTGCAAAGAGCAAGGCTGGCCTTGACTCTGGATATCGATGGCTTCCGTTGAGTGGCTTGTGTCAAATTTGGAAGAGCAGCTCAGCCAAACCTCTCTCCTTTGCTTAGGGACAGAATCTCACAGCAGCCTGAAGGAAAAAGGCCTCCTGGCAGCCAGAAAGCCGCGCTTGCAGGGTACCCTTAGCCAGAGGCTACTTAGCGCTTCACGTGCCTTCAAGGAGGTGAAGGTGATTCTCGTGCTGTGTGTTAGTTTTAGTTGAAAGATTTTTCTGAGTGTTATGTTAACAGGTAAGTTAATCTCTTACGTGCTCTGACATAGCAAAGGAGGTGGGGGGAGGGGAAATTGCTCCTCTGCTCCCCCCATCAGACCTCGGCTCGCCTGCTCCTCCTCCGCTCACCACTGCCAGCTGAAGCCTCCCCCCTGTCTCTCCACCCCCAGCCCCACCCTTCTTGCTCTTCAACAGGGGGATGGTGCCCGCGCCAAACTGGAGGGAGTGGGGGAAGACACGGTACAAGCTCCCCCCTCTCCAGCTGTGTAGCAGGTTCAGGGCCCAGCCACGTGGTGGTGGAGGGAGGGGGATGCAAATTTTGCTTTTGCCCCTGGGTGCATAACACCCTCACTACACCCCTGCCTGCAGGCAAGGTCTCTGGCTGAAGGCGCCTCCACACACCCCCTTATCTCAGCACCACCTCCCAGGTAGACTCATTGGGGGAGGCAGATGCTGACAGAGCTTCCAGGCTTCCAGACTAGGGGGTTTAGGCGCGGAGTGGTGTAAACAGACCCCCAGAGGGGACGCGTTTTAATTTGGGAGGCCCAGAAAAGCAGGAAGGAAAAGGAAGGTGGGGGCAGGGAGAGGGGCCGAGTCGGGGGGTACAGGTCAGTAGCAGCTGAGGGGGAAGTACCGCAGGACACCACTAGGGGGAGCACTGGCTCCATGCCCCCCCCCACCTATGTACAACCCCGCGCCCCCCGCCCACGCC